AAAAAGGGGAAAACAGGAAATTATCGGGATATGGGAGTACTAACACTCTGAATAGCCTGCGCAACCACATGCATAAAATTCATTCCGACCGCCCTAACGCCTACCAGCTCGGCCAGAGCCGTGAGGGTGGACCGTTCCCTTGCCCTGTGGAGGACTGCCCCATGGAATGCGTCTGTCCCAACGCCCTCGAAGGACACCGACGCGAACGGCTATCTCGACGGCCGTGGTGTACTCGCGAAGGGCGAAAAAGAGTCAGCACACAGACGTGCGTGGTTATGGAAGTTCTCTATGTCTCGAGGATCAGAAAGAGGTAGGTATCTGCAACTCAGGGAATCGGTCTTACCGGGTCGATAAACAGGCAGTCAATAACGACGAGACACGCACACACGAACATGATCGCGTAAATTATATCATTCATTCACTTAAGACGTGACCTAAACGCGTCCTCAGCTTTTCTCAGCGATGTTACTGGCATGTACTCGGCTTGCTGGGCGCGGCGCGTCCATGCGGCAGACACGCGTCTTGGGGAAGGCCTGGGGCAAAATCCCACCCCGACTGCCGACTGTGTCCTCTACCTGGCTTATCTCAGGTAGCCCGGCTCGCCATGCCCCCAGCTGTACGCCGCGGGCCTCCTTCATCCTGGGGCGTGGCAGGCGCAGGGCGGGTACTCGTAGTTCTCGTCCTCCTCACCCCAGCCCTCGTCATCGTCCTCCTCGCCCTCTCCACTGGTGATGGAGCTGGCGTTGTGACGTCCCGACTGGATGCGGGCCCCGTCGCCAGCGGAGTCGCTTTCACTCGACGAGGCCATCCTTGCGGACACGGCCATGAAAGTTCTTGTGATTGGTGACTGCAGTGTCGTTGTAGTCTTTGTCAGGATCAGGAGTTCGGTTCTTTGGCAGCTTGTGCAATTCCTCCTCGGCACGCGTCTTGGGCTTCTTGGGCGCCTTGGGCTGCAGACGCCTGCCAAGCACCAACTAAACGGCCGACAGATCAGAAACATAGTCAGGAATGCCGAGAATCTGGCGGCTTTCGACGACGTTAAGCTTGGCCTCGCACGGCTGCAGCAGGGAATCGGCCCCGTCGAATGCCTGGTACAGGCGAACCGAAGCGATAATGGCACGGCGGCGAACCGCCGCGTCCAGGACGAAATCAGGGTCTTCGTCCTCATCCTCGTCGGCTGCCGCCTTAACCCAGAAGTGGGTTTTGGCTAAAACGAGAAGAGCCTGGAGGTCGACCATGTCGTCCGTCATTGTTGCGAGGGCCTGGCCAGGGATTCGCACGCATTAGGTAGCTACGAATTAGTACCGCGATCGATACGAAGGCGTTCCCCGGATAAGTTACCGCCTCGCACGTACCCGTCCGGTCGATACACTGAGTGAATCGAGTTTGTTTTCCGACCTGCTTGAAGATGTAACTAATCTACTAAGGCTCGTCCCCCGTATTACTACGATGTCTTCTGTGTGTACGTCCGCAACTTCGGACAAATACACGAGAGCATCAGAAATAGGCTTGAGTCGACCGGCCGCGCGTGGTACATGAATGCACCCTACCTACCCCCGGTCTTCCACCCCAAGCCGGGGGCAGAGCCCCCGATCGCAGACCAGCCTATATCTCCAAAAGGCATCCGCGTAGACAATGCTCCTAAGGCCCCTCCCACGGGATGCCAGTCGCGGCGTATCAATGATCACCTCGCTTTTTGGGGTATTCATGGCAGATGGCCCGCCAAACCCTTAAGCGTCCAAGAAATTGAAAATCTCGAGCAACGAGATTCCAAGACGGAATGAATCTTGGTGCCGCTGGGCGGCCGGACCAGCGTACGATCAGTGCATCATGATCTCCTGCTCCCGCGCCACCAGAAGTGTTCCATCAGGTTGTGAAGGGTGATGTCCAAGGCGTGATGCCCGTGGTTGTCATGCGCCCAGTCTAGGGCCGTATGAATAGTCGGAAAATCCGAGGATTCCGTCGCCAGAGCCGTTGTTAGAGTTGTGATATCTAAAGCGCAGTGTCTATGTAAAGACAGCGTATGTTCAGCTCAAAGTCGCCGTATCTACCATCACTATTGCTTTCCACCGTAGGTATAGCTATCTGCAATACCAAAGATTAGAATAAACCCCGGCCAGAAAAGATGTATCATTGTCTTTGAGCTACAGTCTTGCTTGCCGAATTACCGTCTTTCTGTTTCATTCCTCACCTTCTCCTTCTTGGTCCTGGATGGTTTTGAATCGTCTTGAGCCTGGCTACTATAACCTGGCTGTCTACGGCTAACTCGACATGTGTATCGCGAAGTTTTGCCGCTCTACCTCTCGTATGTCAAGATGGGGTGCGGGGCCTCGCTAATGGATGGCTCGGAATGCCAGATGGTCGTACACACGTCTTGCCTGGGCCCTTTGGAAGCTCCTTTTGGTGTCATTGTCCAGAAAACTAGCGGCAGGGCCATCCGACTGCATTTCAATGGCCTTGATAGCGAGAGATGGGAGATGGGAGTCAGAATCAAACCCATTTCGCTCGAACTCCCAGTTGATTCTGGCGAGCCATCTCGCAGCCGAGCCCTCCCCGCAGAACCGGCCACACTGGCTCAGGTCTGGTAGGCGAGGCAACTGAAGGTCCCCCATTTTGAGAGGTAGGGGTGAGGGTGATTTCCCAGTTGGCTGATGATCCTTGTTAGTTAGCTTGGACAGGTCGTCCTCAGTCTGAGGCCCGGTTCCGTCGTCAGCTGCGGGCAAGGGGTCTGAAGCAGAATGTGAGTGGAGATCTGACCCAGCCGGAAGACCTAGCCTTGAAGGACCAGCCGAGCGTCTTGAAGTTGTCCTCCTGTGCCTGCGCAGACGCTTGAGGTCTTCTAGTTATTGGAAGATTTCGGGGTGTGTTGCCCGAACGGCCTGATCGGCATCGGTGGTTTCAAGAACAGGGGCCTGGTCGGAACCGGTGCTCTGTAGAGAAGGGTTGGCATCGTCGGTGCCCGGTAGAACAGTGTTGGCGTCGTCGGGATTGGAAGAGCTCTTTGATAATCTACGTCTGAATTTTGCGTCGACGTCTGCCACTGTTTGATGTGGTGCGACAGGGGCTTATGCGGGTGTTCCTGAAGAGTCCGTGGATAATTGACTCAATATTCGCAAACGGCGCTTGAAGCCGAGGCGCATTCTCTCGTCCTCTGAGTCCGATTCGGTGATCTCGGAGCCACCGTGCTCACTTACGGGAGCTTTTGGGTTGATGCTGGGTATCGGGTCTGGGACGGCTTGATGCGGAGAAGACTCCTGCGGGACTTGGTTGCGGCCTTTTTTTGATTTCCCCGGTGTTGAGGAACTGACTAGATGACAGATTAGCACAAGTGCAGGTATATCCCGATGATAAGGGTTCGATCCTCTTCCTCATTCCCTACCACCTATTGGCCGGGGTTTTGTCTGTTCTGGGGGGTTGTTGTTGGTGTTCCGGTAGTGGTGGACGACGGGGTGCGGCGGGCTACTGTAGTCTGTTCAGGAAGAGCGACATTAGGCCAGGTCGGCTCATGGAGCGCCTTCAGGCGTGCCTGCGGATATCGACCACGTCGGATGTGGACTTCTCTTGATTCTCTTCCAAATCCTTGATTCGCTTTTCCTTGATTTGCTGGTTTATGGTTTTTCTTTTGTAATGGAACGGTCGGGAAAGCCGAGCTCATGTTGCTGAAATCCTTTGACGATTGGTCGGCTTGCGCCGTTCTGCTTCTCTTAGAAGGTGACCTGGTTGTGTAGAATGTGGACAAGTCAGTACGTGTTTGAAATACATCAGGTAGTTGATATAGTTCCTTTCTTGACCGCAGACGTACTTCTCGTGGATCAGGTTCCGGAAGCGCGTACATCCCCAAAGGCCCAGTGCACTGAAGTCGTGGACGAACTTTTCTCTGTGATATCGACGAAAATGACTGCCTTGACGGGTGTATTGTATGATGCCACCGTGCCTGCAGACGCGCGAGCAGGGACAGCCGAAAGGAGATCATTAGTATGTGGCATACGCCCAGATTTGCTGGGATGGGGCAAAAGTCCGTCCAAATTCCGCTTTGGTATTCTGTCAGGTTGGCAGTTCAAAGGTGGAATGCGTACCTAGCTTGCGTAGGGAACACGAATGCCAGTCAGCCGGCCTGGACTGACAGCACGGCCAGACGCATGCCCACATCATCGGATGGATTAGAGTCGAGTAGTTGCCCCGAAAACAGAGCGTCCACTAGGACCAGAAGACAACCGAGGGTGAGGTCAGCAGTCTGGAGTCTGAAATATCCGCCTTGCGATGCCTACCATTTACATCCAAGGATGGCAAGGCTGTGCATACAGAGGCCAAAGTCCTTCATCTGCCACCGTCTCTTCGGGAAGGCAGATCTCGGTCAGAATCGAGAAGATTTCCGGGAAGAACAGACTCAACAGTTTCTACTCACCCGTGGGGTGACAGAACAGTAGCCTAGGTACTCTCCAGCCCAGTCGAATATACACACAAATGCCTGCCCCTTTGGCTGTCCCTGTAGCATAAGTTCAGTACACCCTTCTGATGCAAAGGACAGTCCGAGTACAACTGTGACTTGGTGGTAATGGCATGCCAGGCTGTCGATCAGGAGCAAAATCCATCTGGCAGCAAGGAGGCTGATTCCCACCAGTGATTGTGCCAGGGGAGCCCATTGATCACAAAGACTTGGCTTGAAGTGGTCCTTTTCTGCAGAGGAAAGTGAAGCGAGACATGCCACAGAGTCAGTTCATGCTACTTCTTCTCCAGGCTCTTGTGCTGCGAGGGTAATCATGAGCCCCCTGCCAGATAGATCTGTTTCCACTGGCTGGCTGCTGGATTTGTGAGGTGCTAGACTACTCCTGCACAGAGGGCGACCTCATCGTGCAGCAGAATAGCACCACCACCACCATCACCACCAGCCGCACCTCAGCCGCCTTCAGTTGCGGCACGAGAGCACCCCATTGGACGCAGGCAACCTGGTCCTAATGTTTATAATTGGTAAAAAGGCACCATCCTAGCATAATAAAACAGGTCTGGTGGTGTAGTGGTAACACATCCTGCTGGCAAGATGCGGTGTTTCTAGGTTTTCTGGTTCCACTGGCCATCTCCGGATGGTCACTCTTGAGTGCTCGGTGTAACAGGAAGATCAGAGGTTCGAATCCTCTCCAGACCATTTTTTTCTTGTTCTATTTTCTTGAATCATTCTCCTTTGTGCACCAGGAAGATTGCAGGTTCAAATCCTGTGTGGACTATTTCTTTTCTTGTTTTTTTCTTGATTCTTTTTATCCCTTGGCTTTTTTTCGCCGGGCATATCCATCCAGGGCCTCTTTGCCGGCTAGCTTCACTTTGCCTGTCATCTGTGTTACTCATCACAACTTGTCTGACTGAGGTTTCCGTCCATATTCAATTCTCACCCAGGCCCCAAAAGAAATCGACTGCATTAATTCTTTGATTGCCTACCGTACGCACTGCTCCCATCTCAGTCACCCTCCAAAGCGGGCAGCGGCATGAGCACTGACAAAAGCATGGAACCTATAAGCTCTAGCTTGCTGTCGGGTCTATTTCTGATATTCCCCAAGTACATGCAAGGACTCATGCTCCGTTGTTTGTATGGGAAGTGCAAATGAGGGTACTCTACGGAGAGGGAATAGGGGTATGATCACGTGACTCGGAGAGCTTCCTCGGTACCTGGTTTCCTCCCACCTCCGAATCCGATACCGAGGTTGTTACGCATTACACCGCCGAGCTTGGGTCACAACTTCATGGATACTGGTCAATATATCTTGCATCGGGACAGCATTGCAGGATAATTGATGCTGCATTGGCTTTACTGCGGCGCGATGCTTCAGATCCCTACCCCATTGAGGCCGGATTGATCATCGTCAAACCTGGCTGCGACCTGGCGAGCTTGGTTCCGTGCATGTACCGACGACCGGACCGTACCGGTGCTGCTTGATGGCCTTTTACCACAACCATCAACGACAGAAAGAGCCGTCTTTATCAAGAATTCCAGCAGCATCGTCCGTAGCGCGGCAGCAGTAGCAGCATCAAGGTTTCGTCAAACGACCAACTCTTCAGATGGGCTCGCCGCCAAGCGCCACCCGCGGCCGCGGCCGCGCGCGCCTCAGCTTCGACGAGGCCATGAGTCTGGCGCCCCTCCCGGACGCGGAGGCGGCCGCTACCGGTAGCCCGGACGGCGGGGTGGCAGCGCTGCCGCCGGTCAAGCGCTACATGAGCCGTAGGGCCGGCTGGGTGGTCGGCCGGGGCATGACCCCGCACTCCTCGCTCACGGGCAGGATGGCCAGGGCCCAGGATACCACCTACGGCGGACACGTCTACGCGCAGGCCGCCATGGCGGCGTCGCGCGCCCTCGCCGAGACCCGCGCGGCGGCGTCGGCGGCAGCGCCAGCGCCAGGGACACGGACAAGGATACCGGGGAACGGAAGGGCGGCCCACGGCGACGCCAGGCAGCTCGGCATACATGTGAGTGAGAGCGAGCTTCCAACCAACCAGCCTCGGAATACCTGTAGATGATGGGCAGATGGATAGTGCGCGGGAGGCAAGGACAGACAGTGACAGAGCGATTGCACAAGGAAAAAGAAAACAGGAGACGACACCGCACGCATCTCACTCACTCCAGGACCTATCTCTTTCCTACCCACCTACCCACCTACCCACTTACCTACCTACTTACCCCCCGAACTGACCCGCGCCCGCGCGAACAGAGCATCAACGGCCTCTTCTCCGAGGCCGGCCGGGGCGACCGGCCCTTCATCTACGCCGTGACCGCGCTGTCGTCCAACCCGTCCTTCCCTAACCTGCTGGTCACGGCGCGGCAGCCGACGACGACTATCTCGCGTTCTCGTTCGCCGTCACGTTCTTCGCCGCAGAGCGGCACCGGCGTTGACGCGGCGGGCAAAGACGTGGTCGACGACGACGACGACGACGACGACGACGACGACTTTGCCCAGTACCACCACCTCTATCACCGCTACTACTACTACCAGTCCCCGCGCGCAGCCTCCGCCATTGACGACCCGCCGCCACCGCCACCCCTGGGCCCCGTGTGCTTCAGCGCGACGGTGTCGTTCCGCCCCTGCCCCTCATCAGTGGCCGCGTCGCAGTCGCAGCTCGACGCGGCGGCGCCGCCGCCGTGGGCGCAGGAGTCGTCGGGCCTCGCCGCTGTACTAGCAGGCCGGCGACATCCGGGGGCGTGGCCGCGCGTGCCGCTCGTCGACATCGACGGCCTGGTGGCGGCGGCGGGGGCGGCGAAGGCGAAGGCGCGGGCGCGGGCGCACGGGGGGTTCCCGGGGCTCGAGCTGCGCAAGGTCGACCTGAGGGGGTGGAATGAGGGACGGCCGCTGCATGAGCGGCGGGAGCGTATGTGAATTTTTTCTTTTTGTGTTTTTTCTTTCTTTTAGCGGATTTGGTTCCCGGAGGCACTTGTCGTCTTTACCTTACCTCGTTTTGCTTTACTGTATATGCCCTGCCTAGGTAGGTACGCTGCCTCCCTGGTGTGTTTGCTGGCCTGTTTGGATACGTTCATCATCGCCGTATTTCATTCTTCTTCTGATCCCTTCTGTCTGTTTCTTCGTTGTCTGCGAATGAACGGACCAGCAAAGTGGTCGGTTGACGGGCTTTTTTACGCCGTGATCGATACTTCTTAGCTAGGAAGTACACAGCTACTCCCTGACTGAGTGCTGACTGACTGACTGACTTCTCCTCTCCGAGGATCTGCCCGAAACAAAACAGTCATCTTCTACCGGCTCACGGCGCCGCTGCCCGCGTCGTCGCAGCAGAAAAACGGGGCCGACGCGCACGTGTGCGCGCACGCCTTCGGCGCCGACCGCAACGGCCTGTTGATGGCCGCCAACCACGCCGGGTTCGGGCGCGACCTCGCGCAGGCCGCGAGCCTGAGCTACACCTTTGTCGTGCACGTCGACAACGCCGAGGCGGTCATGAAGGCCCCGACTTCTGGTGATGATGATGGGGAGGAGGAGCGTGGAGAGGAAGAGGCAGGAGAGGAAGAGGAAGAAGAGGCCGAGGTCGAGCGCGACTGCTGGTGGCTGCAGGAGACGGCGTTCCCGCGCATCGCCGTCGGCCGCGGCGTGGTCATGACCAAGATCTGGAGCCCCCGCGGCGTCCACGTCGCCACCATGTACCAGGACGGCATCGTGCGGCGCAGGCGGCGGCCGGGCGATGACAAGGAGGCCGGCAGCAGAGCTGTGATGTGAGGTACCTAAGGTGATCTGAGTGATGTGATGATAGATGATGTGATGATAGATGATGTGATGTGGAGGCGATGGCGTAGAGGAGCCCAGCGCTGGATGTCTATTCATTTATTGATTACTATCTCTGTTTGTCCTTTGATCTATTCCATCTGTCGCGTCCAGCAGCAGTGCCTACTGGCCGTTTAGCAGAAGACAGACACTGAGTTGTGGCAACCAGAAGATATCCTCGTTGTGTCTATCGTTCAGGGATAGCTGGGATCACTGGCGGTTCTCTAGTCATGTAACGGAAAAAGAGGTCTGTCTGGATCACGAGGGGCGAGAACTCAAAGTGTTGGAGCATTTCCACCACTGCAATCAACATCTAGACAGAGAGCGGAATAGTGCGCTTGGTGCCCCTTACGGATAATGTATGTGCTCTGGATTGCGAAAATCGTAGTAGAACGGAGCACCTTACCTTGAGGAGGCAGGGTATTTGGTACATAATCTCCTGGTGCCGTACCGACTAGGCTCTTCTTGTCGATCAGGAGCCGCTACGTTCTCACCTGCATCTCCTTGTTTTTCTTAATTGAGGCTTGTCTCTGGGCTGGGAGCGACATCTTTCTCGAGGCGTTTGCTGTGTGGGCCTGCCTTCCCAAGTTCAGACGACAAGATGCCGCATATGTACCTCAGCGTAAGCTAGTCGAGATAGAAGATCGCGCAGATTGAGACCGTGATGCGACTGCAAAATACAACGCCGCAGCAATCGCATTATGCGACCGATGGCCTATCGCACACAGATGAACAAGATATACACATAAATCAGGCTTGCTGTTTTTTGCACAATAAACGACGCGCCATATGGCTGGCTAGATAAAGAGCTGCAAATCTTGAAACACTCAATCCTTCGGCAGGAACTCAGACGGGACTGCCGGACCTATTTGTCATCAGCTACTCAGTCGTCGAGGTCAAGAAGACGAGCGTTACTTACCCCAGACATGCAAGCTATCAGGCGAGGCCTCAGACCGATGCGGCGGCTCCGAGGCGTTGACGAGGTCGCCGTCGACGTAGTGCTCCATGATGAGGCCAAAGGGATCGAACCTGTCCCCGCCCACCAGCGTCAGTACGAGATCTTCAAATCCTAAGCGCCAAATCTCCCTCTCCCTCTACGTCTCATTTTACCCCTTACTACCCAGAAAAGCAGACCGAAGACCGAAAGAAAGACGCACCAGTAGTCGAAGATCTGGCTGCCGAGCACGTGGCGGCCGACGCCCCAGCAGTTCTTGTACCCCTTCTCGCGCAGCCAGTCGTGGCCGAGGACCTGGGTGTCGAAGTCGTACGTCTCGAAGGACGAGTGGTGCACGCGGTAGCTGCCGCCCTCGGCGAAGAAGAAGACGTGGTGGTCGACCGGGTCGTCGCCGCGATCGATCCGGTAGAACACGGTGCGGTCGACGCCGCCGCGGTCGTGGATGAGCTGTTTCCACCCCACATCTAGTGAGTCAGGGTTCGTACGCGGGGGCAGTTGAGACGGGATCCGGCGACAGAGAGGGGAGGGGGGAAGGGGGCAGGGGGGAATGGTTGAGTAGGAGAGAGGAATGCTCACGTCGCTTGGGATGAAGTTGAAGTGGGACATGTAGAACTCGTGCGCCTTGGCGAAGTTGGTGGTGCGGACGCCGAAATGGCCGAGCTTGTGGACCGGCGCCGGACCCTTCTTGAAGCGCTGGAAACTGTTCGCCGGCCGGTTCTTCTCGTTGGGCTATGATTTCAAATTCCAGTCAGCGCCGCCGCCGACCCAGCACTGGCAGTCATCACCCCCCCTCGTGGGCCGCTCTCACATAGTTGACCGCGCCGTGGGACAGGGGGATGTCCAGCATGGGTGCTGTCTGCTGGCCGAAGACGAGGTGCAGCGGGTAGCCGTCGACGGGGTCGTGGAAGGTCACGCCCCGGCCGCCGCCGGGCGCGTCCG